CGATTTCATTGCTGAAATGCCATCTCGTTATGGGCGCGTGACTCGACAGCCTTGACATCCGCATTGACAGATGTAGGATTGCACTTGGTGATGAGGGTGACCGTCCTCACAACCAAACACTCGCTTCCTTTCTCTCAGTTGACTTTGCGTCACTCCCACTTTCTTGCTCTTCCTTTTTGTGCAAACACCTGATATCGCGACAAATGACAACGCAGCGGCTTTCCCCTTTCCACAATACACACCAACACCATCAGGATGACCGTAGTGAAATTATGTCTCGCCTTGATTGGAGTAGTCTACATGTCCACTCGCTTCGTGTAATGTGAATACGAATGGGTCACAAACCTTGCCTCGCAACACACAACCAACACCATCAGGATGATGGATGATGTTGCCTCGCCTCGTCCCTCCTCTATCCATTCGCCCTTTCCTCTTGTAGTGCAATTTAGTTTGGGCGATCTATTCACCGGTATCAACGAAGCTGTAAGACCTCCTATTTTCTCCACCCCTACCTCTTTCACGTTCACTTGCAAATCTTCCCATATGGCATTAGTGAGCCTCCCTTTTTTCCTCTTTCAACAGCTAAGATTCCTCATTATTTGCACTAAGGCTCTCATCTCCAAATGTCATTTGCATTTCATACCTTAATTTGCATGATTATTAACGGTTTTGCCGACTTTTGTCCTCTGTACTCGTTTTCTCTCCTCTTTCCCCTCTATTTCCTGAAGACCTGTTTTATCACAACTTCTCGTGACGTGTGGATGCATCAAAAAGCTGCGTTGCTCAACCAGTTTTGGCCATATTCGAGGGCAGTGCTTAGCGTTAGTCATCAGAGCTGCTTAACAGACGTTTCTCCCCACGATCGACCCATAGTCGCAATGCAATTCCAACTTTTCGTCCTACTCTTTTTCTTTTGCGGTTAAATGTGATTGCATCACTTTCCACATGAAGTGTTTAGGCCTCATCTTTACTTGGCTAAAAGGCGATCACAATTTTTGAGATGAGGCAAAAGTTGTGAAATTCTTTGCCTCCATATCAACTGGCCGTCAGGAATGCGACCCAAAGTGGTGAAAGATGGGGAGAAATTGGTGTAGTTGCATGGGCACTTCCCCATTCCTCACAAGATTCAGCAGTACTGTTTCTGCCCCTATCCCCACTACCCAGGCCCCCTTCAGTCACGTAGTCAGCTGGCGCAAATGCACCACACAAACATTTTATAAGCACAGATGATGCTGTGTGCTGCACATTTAAAGCCATTTTGCCAAGAATTTTGTGCATAGTGAGAAAAAGGGCTTCCTGTTTTTGGTGCTGTCTTTTTCCCTCTTCTCTAGTTCCCCCTTTTTGTTGTTCCCTCGTTTTATCCCCACCCTGAATTAGTTTGGCACAGGACACCGTTACACCGTTCCCAAATCGTTTGTCCTCTCCAACCTACCCACTTAGCGGTGGTAGGAAGGAAATGGGTGGGGGATTTGTTTCTTAACCGAATGTAATTGTCCTTATTGGCATTTCTCCTCATGGGCACTTTAGCCCAGTCTTTGTGTTTGGTGTGGAGTTAAGCATTTTGATGCCATTTTGTCCATTGGCGAGTG